CCTACCTATTTTATTTGCCACTTCCATCTGCACCTCTTTCCTGCACTGCACATTTGTCTCAGTCACAGTTTTGATAAGCTTACAAAATAACCCTAGTCAAAATCAGTAAAATACAAATGTCATGGGAGCTTCTTTCAAAAAGGGGAAAAACCCAATGATGAGATGGCAGAACAATCTAAGACTGCCAACAAAAAGGAAGCTGCATTTAAAAGAAAACACCAAGAGTCCCACTTAAATTATGGGCTCATTGCAATGAAAGGACAAGTGCTTTTCTTTGTGGTACTGAGAATTGAACTCAGGACCTTGTGCTTGCCAGCCAGGCACAACCCACTGAGCTACATTCCCAGCCTGGACATGTGCTTTACTGCTGGTTCAGAATTGATCCAGTCTGCTGCTGAGGACATTTGTAGTGAATGGATAGAGCTGCAATTCAAAAGGTAGCACATGTTCCTTTTTGGCTAGCATTATAACTAGAAGAATTGATGATACGGCAGAGGGTGTTGAGGCACAATTACAGAGGATTAACAAGTCACTGTGGTACAATATCCAGGTTGCTGTATCTACCTGGAAGATGAAACAATGCTCATTTTTTATTGGATATATTTTTCAAGAGGATGTGCATGAGGGTATGTTATGTGCACTTTTGCTGCCAACCAACACCACAGCTGCAGAACCATTCAAGTGTTTGAATGATTACACAGCAGGAAAACTGAATTGGTCATTTTGTGTTGCTATATGCATGGATGGAATGGCTGCCATTATTGGATGGCTTTCTTTTCAGGTTTGATTATTTGGGTCAAAGAGGTCACCCCTGAATTTGAGTCTACACACTCTGTCATCCATAGAGAAAGCTGGCTGGCTGGCTAAAAAATGTCAACTGAATTTAACAACATTTGCAGGATGTGATTAAAATTATCAACTCGGTGTGCTGGCATACAGCTATAATCCCAGTACTTAGGCGACCAATGCAGGAGGGCCACCATGTGTGCAAGGCCAGCTTGGACTACATAGTGAGACCCTGTCTCAAAAAATAAAATTATCAACCACATTAAACTACATGTCCTTAACTCACATCTGTGCAGCTGTGTGAGGAGATGGATACACATCTTCTCTTCTCTTATACACAGAAGTGACACACATCTTCTCTTATACACAGAAGTGACATGGTTTTCTAAAGTTAGATCATTGGCCAGAGTTTTTGAATTACAAGAGCTGCTCTAGAGATTTCTTTTAGAAAAAGTCACCACCGGCAGCACATTTCAGTCACACAGGATGGGTTGCAAAACTTGCTTACTCATATGACATATTCAACCTACTCAACAAACTCAGTCTTTCACTTCGGGAGAGAATGACAACTGTGTTCAAGTCACAGATAAAGTGGCTGCAATCAAAGCTAACCTGGAATTATGGGGCAATGAGTGAATATTGAGATTTTCTGACATGTTTCAAACATCAGCAGAGCTTTTGAAATAGACTGATCCAGGGTCTTCTGTCTCCATGCTGTTGCATGATTACCTGTCTCAACTTTCAAAAGAGTTTGACCATTACATCCCAACCCCAAAAGGCCTCACAACAGGGAAGGAATGGACCCTCAATCCACTTGTGAATAAGCCAAGTGAATAGATTTTGTCCATGCTAGAAGAGGATTGACTGCTTGCGATTGAAAATGATAGAGATCTTAAAAGTATATTTGAGACAACTTTGAATCTCCACACATTTTGGATTAAAGTCAGGGCAGAATATCCTAAGTTTGCAACAGGAGCTCTGAAAAGCCTGCTTCCATTCCCAACATCCTATTTTTGTGAAGCAGAGTTTTCTGGAATGACAGAAACTAGACAAGACTATGGAGTACATTGGACATAAGAACACATGCTGGGTGTCTTTGTCTTCTGTTCCCCTAGAAAAAACCATCTAGTTCCAGGAAAACAAGCTTAGCATTAAAATTGATTCTGTGTTATGCATTATTACAATATCATAATAATAATAGGAATAAAGTACCCAATGTAATGTGCTTGAATTATCCCAAAACCATCCCTTCAAACTCTGGTCCATGGAAAAATTGCCTTCCACAAAACCAGTCCCTGGTGCCAAAAAGGTTGTGGACCACTGGTATAAACCATCCTCGAGACATAGCCATTATTCAAAGCTAATGTTTGGTATATATTTTTCAAGTGTTTACACACATCTGAATTCATATAAACACAAATACATATAAAATAGATAGGTTCATAAAATAAATGCATTCTGTTCTATAACCCACTTTTTACTTAACAAATACCATGATACCCATATATTTCCGTATTAGCATAGTTTTTTAAATAGCCAGTCTTCTGTTGCTAGACATTTAAAGTATGTCCAATATTTTCTCATTATAAGCAATGCTGGAATAATTATCCTTGAACATACATCTGTGTGCACTTGTCTGATTGTTTACTTAGGATAAATTATTAGACATGGACAAAGAGTATGCACACATTAAATGTTGACACATTCTCTATGAAAATGTTCATTGAGGGACTACCATGTGTGACATAGTTATGCTTGGTGAACCAGACAGCTATATCCCTGCCTGGGGCGGAGCTTTTGGTCCCGTGGGAAGACCAACAGTTGAATGGATAAACAAATGGGTACTGTTATAGTTTAGATCTGAAATATCTCCCTAAAGTCTCATGTGTTTGGAAGTGGGACCTAGTCAGAAGAGGGAGGATACCTCTATGCCTTTAAGTTGCAGGTGTCAGGTATATTGTCCCAGAAACAGGAAAGTGACTAGTGCAGTTGCAAATTGTGATGAGAGATAAGCAGGAAAAGATCAAATGCAGTACAGAAACGGACCTATTTAGAGAGATGACCAGTGAAGTTCTCCAATGAATGACATTTAAGCTGAGAGCTTAAGGATGTTAAGAGCCCAGCCTCTATAATGACAAAGAAGTGCTATTGGCAAATTACCCAGAGAAGAAATCTTTGCTATTTAAAGATCTGAAAAGAAGCCAATGTGGTTAGAGCAGCTGATAACAGTATGAAGGAGCAGGCTAGTTCCAGAGAGCATGAGCCCTTGAAGGGCATGCTGGAGCATTTGCATTTTATTTTATTTCATTTCACAGAAAGTCATCAGAGGGCATTAAGCAAGAGAGTGACCTGTTTCATTTTATTATTATTATTTTTTAATGATCACTCTGCTTGCTCTTTTCCATTGTTCGGATGGGGGCAAAGCTAGGAGACCAGTAAGGAAGTTATTGGAGTGGTCCAAGCCAGATAATTTGGACTGGAGTAGGGTATATGGGAATATACAAATTTGTTCATTCTGTTGGTATTGGAATATGCAAATAGAGCAATGGATACAAAAGAAGCATTTATAAATGGGATTTAATATCGGATAAAAGTGTATATTCCTACACTAGTGGCTCATAGTTGTATTCACTGAAGTTTTACATTATATTTTAATATCTGTTAGAGCAATATTCCCTCATTTTTTCATTTCAAAAATTTTCTTGGGTATTTCCTTATTCTTATTTATCAAGAGAAGTTTTAAAATAATTTTGTCATGCTTTGTCCCATCCCACCCCCTGAATCATATTGGTTCTTTGATGTAGATTTATCAACCAAGTTGGGAAGATATTTTTGCAACGTTGAGAATTCCTGTCCAGGGATCTTTCCACTTAGAAGTGTTTTTTAAATGTCCTTCAGTAAGATATTATGGTTTTTCTCCTATAGACCTTGCTATTTTTTATTTAGAATATGGTATATAATATTTATTGATAATTTGGATATAAATTTTTCATCACATTTTCTAAATGGAAATCACTAGTATTTGGTGTTATATATGGGCAACCCTATAAGTAGTACTTCTTCCTTCTTTTGAGTTTAGAACAAACCAAGTGTCTTACTTTTCTTGTTGCTGAGACAAAATACCCGACACCCAAAGCTAAAGGGGAAAAGGTTTATTTGGCTCTCAGTTTGTAGAGGCTTCAGTTCATAGTTGGCTGGCTCCAAGGCATGGCAGAGAGGCACTGCAAGGAGAAATAGTTCGTGCCAGACAGAAGGCAACAAGGCAGCAAGCAGCAAGTAACAAGCGACAAGCAGTGCCCCTCTTTCTGTCCCTTATATCTTATCCAGGCTACCCACTTTTAGGGCAGGTAGCACTCTCACCCAGGGTGGAGCAGCCTTCATCCTAGCATTGAACCATGAATCAATCCCACCATCACATCCTTGATCCCATCCTTGATCCCAGCAGCACACACTCTAGATCCAGCCACCTCTGAAAAGCTCCACCTATGACTAGGCTTGGGGGGATATCTAGATACAACCCATAACACCAAGGCATAGAGGAGAGGAACCCAGAACATAGAAATACTACCTTTATCATTGATAAAGATGGTTGGAAAATGTAGGTTTTTATCTGTTAAGTGGGTTTGCTATATTTCTCCTTCAATTAGATATTTATTTCTGTATTTGCAGGCATTTTGGCCCAATAGTCTCTCTCTGCCCCACAAACATACTAAATAGTGAAACCATGTGAAAAAAATATTTGCTTTCTGCAGTCAGCCAAAATCCAAAAAGAGGATTCAGAAGCAGCTGTTCTTGTCTAATCCTTCTCCTCAACTTATTAACCACTTCTTCAAAATTTATTCATCCTCCCCTAGGGTGGAAAGAGATTAGGACTCTTATTCAAATGCATGTCCCTCTATACAGGAAAGAAAGCTTCTCCCTAACAATTGGGAAAGCTATTGATTTATCTTATAATTGGCTACCTTACCAAAGTCTGTGATATTTTTAGTTAATTGTGTTGATTTTTATTCTTAAACACTATGGTGAGCAAATAATGAAAATGTTCTTTCTTCCCACTATTTATATTTCTTGTTTATTTTTCTTAACTTATTGCATTGGCTTTAGCTTGCAACAATTTTAGCAGGCAGCCTTGCTTTATTTCTGACTTAAATAGGAGTATCTTTCAATGTTTCACCATTAAATGTGTGAGTTAATGTTTACTGATAAACTTTAAATTTTTTTCCTAGTAGGTCATTGGTGTTGACATTTATTAAATACTTCTAAAGCATCTATCCCATGGATAATACCCTGTGATTTATGATTTATTTTCCTTTAACAATGCAATAAATACATACATACATATGGAATAAATACATATTGATTGAGGTGGGTTTTGACTTATAGCAAACTAGATTCAAATTGTATTTAGTAGTTTTGCAACTGCAATACACTTAAATGTATTAGTCTGTAGCAGTGATTTATATATTGGAGATTGATCAGTGAGCTTGGCAAAAGTTGTCTTTGCTCAACTGAGTTTGGGAAATGCCAGGTTAAACAAAGCACACAGGTTTCTTTACTCCTACGCTTCACATGGACCTCAATATACTAACTTTGTGATTCTCCAAAAGGTAAACAATAAACAACATGTAACACTTTTGAAAGTTACCACACTGCTGAAGCCCTCTTTCAAAAAAGGGGACTAGTGTTCTTTATTTATTTGCAGTTCTCCTTTTTGGTGTTTTCTTTGTTGGATTTTGGTATCAGGGTTATCTTGGGAAATAAATTTTTTTTTCCTGTGAAACAGTTCAAACAACACAGGAGATGGTCTGTCCTCCAGTGGTATGACACAACTTGTAGAACTTGCTGTGAACCCATCTGAAGCAGTGGCGTTTCTGAGTGATACAAATGCTTGGAAGGCACGCACTTGGGTGATGGCCCCACCGCTTGTTTCCCTCGACAGCCAGTTCTGCTTGGCACCCTTTTCTTTAGGATCAAGCTATTTTGGAAAATCCTAGAATGCGTGAAAATGAGACTCGATGCATTAGCAAATTGATGCTGATCACTGTTGCATGGTCCTCTGCTCTAAACGTTCCAGGTTCCTGGCCAGTATCCTTTTCAAGCAGCATATCCCTCAGCCTGGGGAGGCGGGCTGGGGCTGTGTACGGCATGTCTGGTTAAGGGGGCAAAGTCTGCGCCTGCCTTTCCTTCTAGCTACTCCAGCTGCTGGTCCAGATCTGGGCCCTCCTCCTCATCCAGCTCCATTCCATCCTCTGGCTTCTACCTTTCCCCAAGTACTGCGACTCCTGCTTAAACCTCTGGCTGTCTCCCTGAGGGCTATGTGGGCAAATCATTTGCCCAGCAAAAGGGGTGGCTGAGAATTGCTAGGAGATTGGGGTCAGTCTAAGAGGCCTGGCTGAGCTCCTGTTAGGTCAGCTGGGCAGTGAGAAGAGCTGAGAGATTGTCTTGGGGTTCAGTAAAGCCTAGAAGGGCTAGGTGGGTGGGTGTCCCCAGAAGAGGCCACACTAGCTATGCTGGAAGTCCTGGGGGCTTCCAGCAACCAGGCTGAGGACAGGTCTTGGGTGTTCCCCGGCCTGGGGTCAAGGGTCCTGGAAAGAGACTCACTTGGAGGAAAGGTTCATCGATGCCCTAGGCTCCAAGAGGCCTGGGGCTGCGAGGATCCTGAGGCTGGGCTGTGGGCGCCTGCGGGCTCGGTGGGGCCCAGTGCCAGGCCTTGTTCACGGCCAAAGGGCTGGGCCTGGGAGGCCGGGTGCAGGGCGCGGCACGGGCTTGGGGCTCCGGGGCTCCCGTTTCCCCTTCCGCCCGCCTCCCCCGGAGCCCGGCCCGCCGCCGCGGCCCGCAGAGGGAGAGGGAACTGTCGCTGTTTTGGTCGCTGCCGCCGCCAGGCCGCGCCCCGCCCCTCGCCGCCGCCGCGCCGCCGATCCCGGGGAGGCTCGCGCTAGAGCTGCGGCGCTGCTGCCGCCGCCTGGGCCCCGGGCCCGGCCCCTCCCGCGCCGCCCGGGCG